TTTTTTTGTTTGCATTTTTTTGGTTTGGGGTTTTCTGGGGGGTAATTTTTTTTTTTTTTTTTTTTTTTCCTTGTTTTGTTATCCTTCTGTTTTATGTCACACCTCTCTGTGGCAAATGGCAGTGCTGGCTGGCAGGTTAGATGTTGCTAGAAGAGTTGTTGCTCTAGCCACACGTATAGTACTGGCAACGGAAATTTTCTTGAGGTTTTATTGCTTGGTAGACAGACTGAAAAGAGAATCTGGACAAATAAACTTTAGTTTTGAGGAAACCCTAGTGGTCATGGGCAAGAGGGGTGCTGGAAGGGGAGCTGTGTGGTGGTCACTTCTGATAATGCCTTCTGGAGGTCAAGCCAAATATTTGAGTTGTAATGTTGGCAACCTCTGATCTGCTTGCTTTAAGGATCAAGATAGTTTTATGGTAATGTCATATACTTAAATGTGGATGCCCTTCTTTTCTCTATAAATAATTATGAATGGGATAAGAGCAAGACATGAAACACAAGCATTTAAGTCCTGTGTTATTTTTTACCTCTGACCTCCGAGATCTGGTGCAGCTCAGTGGATTTCTTCAGGTGCTAAATCTGCTTTTCTTGACTGATTTCTCTGTGGACTAACCCTTTAGCATAGAGCTGGCATGAACGGAGGAGAGCAACAGCCTCCCTCTTGTGTGCCATTTCTCTGCTTAGAGCAGGGTAGTTGATCCTGCCTAGAGCAAGTGGTTTTGAAAGCGATTTTTTTTTTTTTAAAAAAAGAAAGCATTTTACTTTATTCTTGTTCATCTCTGAGGAAGGTTTGGGTCTGAGGAGTTGGTCTGTGGTTTTATTTCTTGTAATTTGTCTGAGAAACCGTACATAAGAGTCTCTTTTTTTTTCTTTTATTAAAAAATTTCTAAAACTGTAATTAAAAAGCAAAGCTGAGTTAAGTAATTTTTTTCCAATTCAAAATCTCTAGAGAAGTTTTTTAACAAATACATAGCTAATGCAAAAGATTGTTTGTAAACTTGACAACTCATGTAAATAATGGATGTGAACCAGAAAACTCCTTTGATCAATTTATAAGAATCTGAAAACAAAACTGACCAACAAAAGACCAGTTTGTCTTTTTTCCCAAGGAGACAAAGATAAAATAATCAGTATGTGTCTAGGAAGGTAGATTAGGCTCTAAAAGCTATGGTCTCTGTAATCTCTTGAGTTGATGACAAAAAAATCAAACTTCATTTTAATCTGATCAGTTGCTTTTTATTATGCAACGGCCATCTGCATTATATGGATGCAGCAACTAACATATCCCAGGCATCTGTGCAAAGGATCTGTAATTTAAATTTATTTAATAAAACTTTATCACTTAATGATTAATTGGATTGGCAGATGACACTCATAACTAATAACTCAGTCTGTATTATACTATGTTTATTAGACTGCTAATGGATAACAGGTTTAATCATGTGTCAATTAAAAGGATGAGTTGGTTTCATTTATTGCAATTAAATGGTATCCATAAACCATGTATGCAGGAAGTATCTAAAGCACATCATGTATCAGTTGTGTGTGTGGGCTTTGTTACCGACTGTATAATCTGGGGGTGAATCAGTTCATGTAAGAGTTTTGAATTCACGTGTTCAGGTTCTGGGTCATACTGCAGAACATAGCACCGTGCTCAGTCATGGGAGATCTGCCTGTGCAGCAGCATGTGAAGGTCAAAAAATTAAAATATGAATTTTCAAAACTTTTTGATGAAGCCTTTGACATAACAAGTTTTTAATTGCTGGTTTTGATTGGAAAACTGAGTTTCTGACAAAGCTGCTCCTGTTTGTTCTCCAGAGGGTACACGGTGATGAAACCTAAACCATTTTCCGTTTCATCCTGGAGCTTGGGAGTCAAGAGGAGGAGCAGATGAGGTGGGGAAGGGAAGAAGGGTGGAAGGACAGTCTGTGTTGTGCGTGGGACAGGCTTAGAGGATGAGATACCAAAGTTTCAAAGAGTTTTCCACGTTTGATCAGTCCCAGTCATGGTGAATGGAAGGAGTGCTGGTGTGGTGAGACCGCCCTGCTCCGGGGAGGAGCTTTACACTCCCTGGGGGATAAATAACAGGAAATCTGCATGGCAGGAGCTGTCCTGTGTTTGTCCAGTTTCTTTTGCGGTGCTTGTGATGGGAGCATCTGGTCAGGCAGGCAGGTGTTGTGCAGCAGCTTTTATCCCAGATAAGCATTATTTGAACTCAAATGCGTTGACGGCAGTGTCTGTGGTCTGGCAGCACGTCACTGCTGGTGCTGCCTGTGTTCAGGACTTGTGCGCCTCTACGCCGTGTAAAATTAGAGCATGTATAAATAAGAGAACAATGTGTCCTCTGAGCTTGTGGCTCTGTTGTAGCTACACTGGTTTCTGGCTTCTCCTTTGAAATAATGATGAATAGGACATTTGATGATCTCTTCTCAGGCTTTTTCTTCCTGCTTGCCTGGCCACCAAAACCTGGATGTGAATAAGATCAGACTCTTCCCCTTGCTGTTGTCTGCTCCTCTTTTGATACTTGTTTAAAAAGTACCTTGCCCGACCTTGCACTACCTACCTTATTACATTAAAGCCATTTTTTTCCAGTGAATAATGAAAATATTGAGCGGAATTGCAGAAGTAAAACCCAAAAGAGTCTCTGCCCTTTGGGGAAGGATTTGGCAGAACATAATTTTCTGGGAATTATTGTTTCTTTTAAAAACACGTTATTAGAAGCTTTTGCTGACAATTTTCAATTGATAGTAGAGCCATGAATCACCTGCAGGAAGCTGTAAGGACAGTTGTTGCGTTGTTGGTGTGAGTAGGTACAGCAATTGCGTGAGCGAAATGAGGTTCCTGGCAGGGGCTGTTTGAAATGCCATGAAAATAATTTCTCCTTGCTTCTCCCTCGCATTCCCCAAAATTTTAGCATATGGGAAGGCTCTTCTGAGATGCTTTCGGCACACTTAGTTTTGGTAGGCGGAGAAACGGTTCAAAATGAAAGAAGGTGGGAGGAGCTGCTGGGTTACCAATTTTGCAGCATTAGGTATCTGTAAAAAAATGCCAGTAGCAAGCAAGTGAGAATCCTGCTTAGTGTGATATAAAATAAGCTTTTCTTCAACATGAGAAGAATGAATCCTTCCTTAAAAACAGCATTTGATTGACTTTTTTTTTTTTGATCATCTGTTACAGTAAGTCTCCAAGGTGCAGTGTGCAATATTTTTGGTGGGCAAAAAGAAAATATTAGTGCTTCAGTAGTATCTGTATAATTCATAAATAAATATACATATATTGAGGGTGCGTGCTCAAACACTTTTTCCTGGTAGCAGAGCATGATCAAAAAAACTGGGAGACCACTGATCTGTAACTATACTAGTCATGAAAATAAAGCATCTCCTTGCTTTGGAAATGTGCAAGTGATTCAGATACGCAGCCAGGAAACACTCTGCTGGGTTTTGATGTGAGAATTCTTCGCCCTTAATTGAAAGGGTGATGTCTTTTTACAAGTATCACAGTCAATGACTTGTCTTGAGCAGCTAATTAGTGCGATTATTCCACAGCTGCATTAGTTTCACCACAAAGGTTTTCTCTTGTTTTATCAAAAGGATCAGTGTCTCTGTGAATGTTTCAACCTGACAGGTCTTAAATAGCAAGATGGTCCCCTCCCTCCCTCCTTCCCTGCCCCCAGAATGTGTGCTCTGGAAGAACTGAGTTTGATCTCTTGGGAGAGTAAGTGTGGGTTCTCCTTTCTTATTTCTATCGTGAACTGTTTTCAACAACAGTCATAATTGTTTTCAACAAAGCCATAAAACTTCCAACAATGCTGGCTCCAGCACGAGTAGCTCTTGGTGCGCACAGCCTCCAGGTGAGAGCTGGAAGGGATCTTGGCTTCTGGACTCCTTTGCAAGCATCTTGCAGGTAGCACCTCAACACTGGAGCCAGTGGTGGGGTTTGCAAAAGCAAACTTCTAGAGCCAGGGTTACTGCTGACTTCTCCAGACATGGTCCTCCATCATTATAGACTGCCATCAGCCCATGGAAAGAAAGGGCTCATTGACCAGCTGCAGCAGTCAGGATCAGAAACCAAATATTGTGTGCACTTAGAGCTCTTTTTCATGTGGATATATGGAGTCATGTATTCTTCCCTGCTTCCAATGCCCCTCTCTCAAAGGATGTGTGCTTTGGTATTTACCTACCCTAATTGTTCTGTCTTACTGATGCTAGAGAAACAGCTTAAAAATGGGCTCTTGCTTCTGATGATGGATTGGTTCAGAAGATGTCCCTGCAGTCCATCGCAAAGTCCTGTGTGTGCGTCATGCTGTCTGGTGGGAAGCTCCACTTGCTAGTGGCTTAGAAATAGCTCTTAGCTGGTAAAGCAGTGCGGTGTGGCTGAAAATACAGTCGTTATTGTTGTTTATTCTGCCTGTTCTCATATTTTACTGCGCTTGGAAGATGCTGGTAGGCCTGAAGTGGGAGTTGTGCTATTCAGAGTCTGGTTTCTAACTATGAAGAAGGTTGCTACCATCAAATCCAACTCTGAGATAGTATTTTGCAGAAAATAAGTCAACTTTGTTCTGTTGTGCCTTCATGGGAGAGGTAGACGTATTTGATCTCTATTTTTGAGCTGGATCATTAGATCTGGAGTATTACCTATGCCTGTCATCAGACTTGATACAGCCCTTTATTACTCTTTAAAAAGAGTAATATGAGAGCCTGCTGCTCTCTATAAAAGCATTTGTCTTTCTTGTGGATGGTTGCTATAAAAATTGAAACAGGGAATAGCTCTTTACAGCTGGACATTGGCGTTTGGAAACGGTTAGCTGCAGTCAAGTTAAGGCAGCCTAATGTGGCTGCTAAGTACCTGAAGTAGGTTGGCTCCAAAGTCCCCCTCATGTGGAACACTGTATCCTCACCCATCCCGCCCCGCGTTCTGGTGTAATTCTGCAAGCTCTGACCGCTGGAGCCGCGATCCCACTTGGGGAAGCTGAGCTGTCTCTCTCTGGTCTTCCCACAGCAATTCCGAGCATCCTGGCGCTTCCAAGCCTCCCTTAAGCTCCTCCAGCATGACCTCACGAATCCTGCTACGCCAGCAGCTCATGCGTGAGCAGATGCAGGAGCAGGAGCGTCGGGAGCAGCAGCAGAAGCAGCAAGCAGCCCAGTTCATGCAGCAGCGAGTACCCGTCAGCCAGACACCTGCCATCAACGTCAGCGTCCCCACCAGCCTGCCCCCCGCCACCCAGGTACCCATGGAGGTCCTCAAGGTACGCCAGTCTCTCCGCCTTTCTGTTTAGGAGCTCTCGCTCATCTAACCGTACTTTATTTAATACGGACTGGTTATAGGGATTTTTGGCAACGAAATTTTACAAATAACCTGCGCTCTGGCTTGATTTTGGTGTCCTGGTAGTGAAAAATGGAAAACCTTTGTGTGACGACTTCTGTTTTGTTTAAAGTTTGAGAACTCGGGAGGGAGGTTTTGTTACAAAACTAATCTTTCCATCATTCTCCCATTGGAAAATATTTCTCTCTTTCTTGTACTTAATTATTTTCAAAAAGAAGAGATTATTAATAGATATTCAAATCAATATTTTGTTTTTTAAAAGAAAACAATGAAAGGTTTTTGTAAAATGGAGTCAAAACTCATTACAAAAGACCTGCTCAGAAAGCCTTAATCTGAAATACGGGTGAGTTTCCAGCCTCTTGCAATGAGCCTACGTAATCCTTTTTTGCTTAAATGACTTGCTTGTAGCTTTGGATTCCTTGTCCTACTGGAAACTGTAGGAGCTTGTTAGTATCCTTGTGTCAAAGGGGATGTAGCTTGCTAATTAGGAAAAACGTGAACAGCTATAAGAAAAGAGATAATTTCATGGGCTGGGTAAGTTCAAGTAGAGTAAAACAATGTGAAATGTGTGAATAAAAGAATGCAAAATGTTTTAGAGAAATTTGTTGACATATTTAATGAAAATAAAGTTTTCATTAGTTTTGAAGAGTTATCTATTTGCTCTGCAGTATTGCTAAATGGTTTTTTTTTTGGTTTTTTTTTTTTTTTACATTCTGATGTTTAGTAACTGCTTTCAGTTGACAAACATATTCTTACCAGATAAGTTAATTGAGCTTCGTTACAATCCACTTGTAGTTTGCTTTTCGCTGTTATATATCAATGATACGTATTCAAAGATTTAGTTCTAAAATAGACTTGCAAGCTCAGGGTTTTGTAGCAGTCTGTGTGACGGGTTTATGGAGGAAATGTAGGGTGCTTTTATTTATTGAATCTGCATTATGGTATTGTGTTGACAGTGCCAGAACTAATACTTAATTAGAACACTAGAGGAGTCATACTCGTGTGGTCGATGTTCTAGGAGCAAAAGGGCAAGAGTTGAATTTTTAATTCTACACATATATACACACACAAATTTTCGTTAAAAAATAAATATGGTAGACTTTGAGCAAGTGTGCATGTGCATTTAGTAAGGAGTCCAAAATTGACTGGGAAGAGCATTTTTGTCTAACCCTTGTGCAACACCCACAATGTTTGTGTATAAGTTTGTTAAACTTGTCTCCAGGTTATGACCCAGTAGTTATAATTCAGATCCAGCAGATGTGTAGATGCTAGGAAATAGTTTTTTTGTTTGTAATGCACCTAGTTAAATAAGCATATATTAACATTTTTACATCCTTTTCCCCTAATATGCTATGATGTGAATTTTAGGGTTTTTTATTTAAACCTCTGAAAATTTGTAGGAAAGTGTTTATTTTCTGATAATATTGTACAGATAAGGAAGAAGTGTAATGTCTTGAAGAAGCATTAGCAGTTGTCTATATTGTTCATTTTACAGTTGTCTTTTTATATAAGAGAGGAAGGGAGGCAGCCCTTTATTTCTGAGGGACAAAGTACCGAAGGTGCTGCAGCCAAAAGGTGATGCTCGGTTATTACAAATGGCATTACTAGGAACTGGCCCGTCATAGGCATTGTATGCAAATCTGTACCCTGTTAGAGCATTGCTAGGGAACTTCACATGAAGGATTTGAACTTGAATCCTTGCCCTTCAGGATTGCAAAAGAAGTATCTGTCCCCCGTTTTCTCCTGATGAAAGAGGGAGGACCTCCACTGCATTTGTCTTTGGCTCAAATGGCAGCTGCAGGACCCTGTAGAGCAAAAAATTAAGAGAATGTATCTTTAACTTGTAAATTAAAAGTAATAGCTGGGAGCAACTACCTTTTGTGCATTGAAGTTGATGGTTGGGAAACCTGAACTGTCTAATGCCTGTCTTCTAATCACCTGCATTTACATAAGTAACAGTCAAAATTAGCAAAAACAAGTCCTCTTGGTCTATGCCCATGAGGCAAGGGAGACCACCTTGCATAGTTTTGCTGCTTGTGTTTTTGGTGGATGAAAGCAGGTCAAGATTCATCCTTCTGTACTTACCGATAAAAGTGGAAAAAAAAAAAAAAAAAAAAAAAAAAAAAAAAAAAAAAAAGGACAAAATACCAGGCTTGAAGTCATGATCTTGCAGAAAATTTACCACTGATGCTTCAGTGAGAGTAGGATTTGGCTGAAAGATCCATATAATTTTTTTTAGAAATAGATTGTTTGGCTCAAAAGATGAGATTAACAATAAATCAGGATCTTCCTGGTGCCGATATGCTGACAGCCAGCTCTGCCTGCAGTAACACTGTATGGGTGACATCATTTCCCTGCAGCTGCTTTTTACACTTCAGTTGTTTTTTAGCTGTAGACAAATTTTCCATATGAGCTGTACAGAAGTTTTAATTAGATAAATAGGGAACTAAGTTGGTAACTTTATTATCCAGATGGTCTGGATTTAGTGACCTTAAAGAATGAGATAGACCAAAAGGGGATTTTTACACTTTCAGAAATGTTAATCTGCAAGGCAACTTTCTTTAAAACAAATCTTTTTGAGTATTACTTCACAAACAAGAAAGACCAAATGTAGTAGTTGTTTTTGTTGTTGTTTTGTTTGTTTTGGAATTTAGCATCAAAAAACCCCCACTCTAAGCCTGTTGGATTTGTCAACATTTTGTGTTTTCAATTACATTGCCCTTTCTCCCATATCTCATAGTATGAGAAGGAGAATAGTACTTGCGTGTCTGGGGTAGTTTGGAATGACTAGTTTAAGAAGGAGCCAGTTTAATGAGTTAAAATTGGATTTTAAATTTTTTTTCAAGATGTTCATTTGTAAACAATACAGAAAGAGAGAGAAATATATACGAATCTATGTCACATTGCACATGAATCTCCAAATTACATGATGTGGGATGCTCAAGGCCATATGAATAAATAGGATTTCATTTTCTTGAGTAATGACTTCTTACTGCACCACTTCTCTGCCAAGTAATGTAGCTTGGCAAGGTAGGAAATGACCTGTTGGCATTGCAATTTTGTGTTGCTTTGTGCAGCCTAATTAAGAGATGGACTAGGAGTAGGTCCAATATATTAGAAACAGTATCTCTTCGAATCTAATAGCAAAAATTAGATTTGTTATGGCTCTCAGTTATCCTTCTGCACAGCTGATGTTAGTTTCACAGATGTAAAGGCTGGTTTATCCTTAAGCACCTTCTCATCTGTCTCCTGTTGGTATTTGATGACTAATGCTATAGAGATATCACAAGAGTTTCTTTGCTTCGCTTGCAATTCAACTTCTTGCTCTGCCTTGGAAATAGGAGCATATAACTTAAAATGTTGATTGTTGGGAATAGTTCCAAGCCCTATCAATGTTGGATGAAGATCCATTTCTGAGGTACAAAGTAAGTTTATATTTTTATTTGAGTTAACTTCTTTGCAAAGAGCTCATCTTAAGATGTCTTCAGTAGGTTGTTTTATGGAGTAGCTTCTTCCATAGAGGTGTGTTTTAGTTTTGTATACTTAATTGATATTAAGAAGCTGATTTTTTTGTTGTCGTTGATTGCAATTAATTCTCTTGTCTGGTGGGAGTCCTAATCTGTTGAAGCAGAAGTGCTGCTGCAGATAACAACTTTAGTATTCCAGACCTGATCTTTGGGAACTGGTTGCTGCATTTCTGTAAGCAGGGTTAGCCCAGGATTTAAGGAGGTTGTGCCTCAGGTCCCTGCCTGCAGTCACTGAGACCTGATGATGGGTTAGTCCTTCTGCTCCTCAGTCATCCAGTTGCAAAATATTAATGCTATTAATCCCATACCTTGTGGAATTACATTTGTTAAACGTGGTGAAATCCTTGGCTATTAGAAATAGAGAGAACGTTCTCTTGGTTTGTAGTGAGGCTGGTGTGTTAATCAGCTTCCCCATAGCTGTCTCGGACTTCATCTGTTACCGTCTTCCTGCTTGATAACACATGATTAGCTTTTCTCCAGTGGCCCTAGCAGCTGTCTGTTGACAGTTATTTAGGGAGCATCTCCTGTTGATGTGATAGAGTTGCTGAGTTCTGCTTTTTGTGTCTTTTGTGCCTCCCCCTCCTTGCATGCCCCCAGTCTCCTTTCCTACTAAGCAGCTTGCAGGATTCTTTTAAAGTGAGTGATCTCCCACCTGCCAAGCTCCTGGCAGCAGCAGGGCAACCCCCTGCCTTTCTGACAGGCAGCAATACCCTAGCCTCCGTAGGATAGTTTGTAATCTTGTATGTCAGTCCAGACAGCTGATTTTTTTTGTTCAGCAGATAGAAATATTGGTTTGTATGACCGAAGTTCTATGTTATGTTCTTCTGGCATCTTCACCAAAGCTGCACTGTAGCAGTGCTTGGGGCTCACTACCCTTCACATGCTTTTAAGAGACACAGAAGGATAAAAGCTTTTCTTTATCTAAAACTTATAAAAGATCCAGGGGAGAAAAGCAAGGAATCGGTCTAAAGACTTAAAGTACCAGCAGCCATCACACCTTATTCTCCTAAGCAAGGCTTGCAGATCCTCTACTTGTTTTTTGGGTTAGTCTTTGAGAAGTTCTGCTGATAGAAGTAGTCAGACCTGAGATGCTGATTTAAGGCTTGCCTCTGAAGATTGTTCTATTTTCTTTCTTTTTTTTTGATAACTGCACTTACCTCAAAGTAGTTTTATTTACAGAATTTGCACTGGTCCAGGAAGTAAACTTACTGCAGAAATTCAGAGAAGTGGGCTGGAGGAGGAGTGAGGACTCATCTGTTTGCTCATTGAAACACATTACAAAAATTGCATTGTAGCTGTTCTGCATGGTTTGTATTGTTTTGTCTGATTTCTGGATAAAGTTGACTGTTCAGAACAAGCATAATACAATCCCCTAAGTACTTTGGACCAGCCTGCC